AAACCCACGGAGCCTTAACAACTCCGGGGACCCAATTACCGAACGGCCTCTAGCCTCTCCCCGTCACCGATCGCAATCCTAGACGTAACCCTTCCCTTTTGAAACTACCGAACCCGCGGAGCTTCAACCACTCCGGGGCCAATTACCGAGCTGAACCCGTGGAGCTTCAGTAACTCCGGGGTCAATTGTCGTAGTCCTCCAACGAGGATTTAAGCGAAGCTGAACCTGGAAAACTGTCCAGCCTACACCACGACCATCTTTGGTGTAAGTAAACAATCTTTTAATCAACAATTATGCGTCCGTGCCTAATTCCAGATCCCACGGGTCTCTCTCCGACCCCACGTGCCCGGGCTGCTGGCCACAGTCCGCGTGCGCAAAAACGGGTCCGCATACCGCTCCCGGCCCGCTCATGGCGACATGGATGGGTTCAGGCCCGCACACCTAGCAGGTCAGTAATCGATTTATGTCCTCATTGGATTGGGCGGTGGGGGAGGACCTGAAACATCCTTCCATGGATCACATACTTCGTGTCAAAGGACGTTCTAATGCAACACAACTTTGATCTCTAGTACTACTGCAACGCAAATAATACATAGAGTGCATCTACACATGCGCTTTAATGCACATTAGCCTATTTTAGTGTGCATTATTAAAGTCACGTAAAAAAATGTGCTTCTTAGTTAATGCACATTAAAATAGGCCATTGCACATTTTCCTAGTACCTCACAGTGGAGGTACTAGATTTAATGCATATTAACTAAAGTGTGTTAATGCACATGTAGACGTGCCCATAGTGTCCACCAGAAAAAAACCCTAAATTATTTAATATACGTAGTTCACAAAAATATCTTTGTCTGTGATGTATCTACTTCCCCACATTATGTCCAGAATAGGTTTGTAATATCTGCTCCTACTTTATTATTAATCACCTTATTTTATATTCATAGACTCATAGAAAATGAGGGTTGGAAGGGACTTCAGTAGGTCGCATCTAGTCCAAACCCCTGCTCAAAGCAGGACCAGCCCCAATTAGATCATCGTCAGTTGTACTTCTTGATGCACTAAACCCACACTGAATTTCCTGGAGGAGCTCTTCAGCAAGTGGAAGGAGATGATTGGCCGTGCCTCTGTAATTTGCACACCACAGTCAGACTTGTCTCCCTTCTTGAAGATTGTCACTTCAGAGAAAAGTCTTTTTTGTTGAAATTGAACCCCCGCCCCCAAAAAAAGTTACTATGTTTGTATGTACTCACTTTTCCCACCCCCCATGCATAATCTCCCTCCAGAGTTAAGAGGAGATCACATCCTTTAATATCACAGAGTTGCATGAACTTCTAAGGGTTGAAAGCTACAGTAAAAAACTACGCCTCTACCACTCTCTACAACTTAAGCTCAAAGCAAGAAACCATTCTTGGCTGGATAATAACTAGGCACTGTTTGTTAGAAAACAAGATGGTGATCCACTGCTCTTTCTAGTGAAAAACTAGTCATGAAAGTATAATGAGCCAATGTAATCTGCATTAATTTTGGCTTAATTATTTCAAGCTTTTCTACAATGAATGCATTAGGTCTTTGTGAAGAGTGGAATAGAAGGGAACACATGAGTATGTGATAGAGCAGTATAGAAAACATGCTTTTTTTGACTGTCTTTACTGGGAGCTCATTAGCGGTAAGTCAACAGGTGTAATGAAAAGGGCTCCTTTTCAACTTCCAGAGCAATGCTTAGTAGTGCAATTCTCTGATGGAGTAGTGTTCTGCATAACTCAATAGGAGATGGTTGTTTTTAAATTAAGTGTTTCAAACTTAGCTTTAACTACAGTACGATCAGTCCCTGCCAGTCTGTGAATGAATATCTAACCAGAAAATTTGTCCATTTATTGATTTTTATTTTTGTTTATTTATATATTTATTTTGAACGGGCACTTCTACAAGGACGCTACGTTGCTGTAACAACAAGCTATTATGCCGTGGCTCATTGCTACAGTGACGTAGCATCTCTGGGCACAAACCGTGACAGCGACCTTACTGCGCAGTAGCAGCTAAAAAATACTGTACTGCAGTAGGACTGTGCAGGAACAACTGCGCAGTGCACCGCACATGTAGATGCATCCAATATGAACAAAAAGAGCAGTACGATTCATATTCTTTGGAAAGAATGGGTGCTGACAATGCAGGATTTTCCTTGTTCTCATGTCTCAGTGGCTACATAAACCTTTTCTTCCTCAGTAATAAATTTAATCTTAACCCCGAAACCAAATTTTTAAATATTTTTGAGGCAAAGCGTCTGCATTATATACAGATCACCCGCTGTTTACTCTTGAGATTTCTTGCAAAAAATCTACTTACATTTTTTAAACTGTTTTATTATAACAACAAAACCAATACAATTCTGTTATACAGTTGATAGAAATGTATTACGCCTGCTTGATATTCCTAGCTCCTATTCATTCAACAGCGCTTGATAGAATCACTGGCTTCCAAGGGGTCCCCTCCCTGCCCCCGCTGAACTGCAGTCCATCTGTTGAACTGTTGTTAAATTGTAGTGCAGCAATGCCTAAAAGTTCCAACTCAGATCTGCAACCAGTATGCAAGGCATACGAGCCATGTGCTCAGCCAGTTTGCGATCTAAATAAATCAGTGTGTAGGTGATAGAAAGCAGGAAACGTTAACCCAATTCTGTTCAGCCTCCTGAGCAGTCAGTTGCTGCTCTCTGATTAATTTAATGCCAACCTTCATTTCATATTTTGAAATATTTAATATCTGGCAAGACACTTTATTAATTTGCTCCAATTCCTATACTCTATTAGGGAAAACTTGTGATGCTTCAGCAATGAGTAACACATCAGCAGTAATTAATTTTAATTTTCTGCTTATTTATCTCCATTCCCATACCTGGTGTCTCTAGAGGTGTGCGTGTGTGACTGACTGACTGAGTCATGATGGACAGGGATTGAGCAACTGAAAATGGAGGGGAAATAGGCAGGCCTAAGTAAAATTGTTCTTGGTATTAATCTCTATCAGTGTTTTGGGTCTGTAATTCAATATCCGTAGAAGCAGATTTTGAAATTGCGTGCCATTTCATCCCAAGTGAAAGCCTCCTCCGTGTAGTACCACTCCACCCGGTCACATCCTATTTGGATCTAATGAAAGCAGCATTTAACTTGGTTAAATGAAACATAACTTGTTCAGCTTTGAATTCTTATATCCTTGTATTGGAGTTCAACTGCTTTGAGTAGTTAGATTCCTGCAGCGATTGCTCGAGCCAGCAATTTCAGTATGTGTTCAATAAGGTGACTGAATCTCCCGTTACTATCTTATCTGCTGAACTGGAGCTGACTTGGTAATTCAGACATGAAATCACCACCTTATAGCATTGCCTGGAAGGCAAAAGCCACTTAGGTTGGGAAGGAGGAACTGAGAGCGTAATGGATGGTGAAGTTTGAGAAAGCTCTAAATTATGCTAGTGGTTTAAAATTTAAGTTACTTCATCATTAAAATAAATTAAGGAAGAGTTGCAATCCAGCTATTCCAAGGTGATTTTTTTTGCACCATCAGCTCTTAAGATCCAGTCCTTCATCTCAGCTTCATACAGGAAAATTGTTTTTCACCCAGCCCTATCACTGCTTGGCTGATCATTTCCTGCCTGTGCACTACAAAGAGCAGGCTTCCCATTTCTTCACTTCTTTGCATAGTGAAGGGGGTAGAACCACTTGAAGGTTTCCATAGAAATGGAACAGTTTTGGTACTATCACATTTTCTGTACAGATCGCCCCTTTTGCTTATTTTTTGACTTGTCTCTTGGGAAACCTAAAATAAAGTATATCATTTAGTCTCATTTGCTTAAACCAGTTCAGAAAATGCAACATTTTAATATTTGTGGCATAATTTTTATATATAAGCTTTGTGTACCAGAAACTCACAGAAATGTCAGAATTTTATGCTTTTTCATATCTAAACCAAATTTTGACATAGCAGGATTACAACTAAACAGTGGGGAATGTCAAGGTTTTAAGGACTTGGGGTGTATACACCAGATTTACGATGCAGGTAGACATTTGTCTAACTAAACTTTATATGCTCTTAATTGACTAGGCTAGGGGCATCCCTTCTCCCATGATGTTTTAACTATACATTCCCTGCTCCTTCCTGTTATTTTAGAACCTTAATGCAACAGACACCTGTATTTTATTGCACAAAGTATGTATTCTGCACTACGCGGCTATTTCCAAATGGTCTTGCATTGTGAATTTGTGAGTTATCCTATATTGGTTGGAGGAACAAAAGTGTCCCATTACAAAAAACATAGAAAATCCACATCTTTTTTTTAAAGACAACCTAGCATTTTTACTTCCAATAAAACCTACCAGGTTTTTTTTTGTGTTTTGGTTTTTTTAGCAGTAACGTGATAAATTAAAAACCTATTTTGTAACAACTAGCCATTAATATTTAATGCTGGTGGTGGTAGTTGGGAGAAGAAATGGAAAATTCTTATTACTTTTCACCTCTTCTTTTCTAACTTTGTTCATGATGTAGATAGAGATAGTAGCAAAAAGCTTGGCAGTGGTTGCTGATGTGCCACTTTGGGCTGTACTGATGCGTCTTGTGTGACAGCCGTTGCCTTCTGTCTGTGCGCCCTGATTACTCTCTAGTGAATTATAAGAGTCAGACTATCTTTATTATTAGTAGTATTAGTATTTTCTTTCTCATGTCATCTGTCTTCCTCTGTTTGTTCAGACAAATAAGTGATCACAGGGAATTATGATCTGTTTTAACACCAGCAGGAAGAGAGATGGGTTATGAGACAAGAGAGACCTCTTGTTTACAGCGAGTTATTTTTGGTAATTAGCCATGTGTAGAGGAAGATGAGCCTCTGCTCATAAAGTCAGAATGCCATAATTTAAGGGGATATGAATAGAAGTCTAACATTTGCCTAAGCTGGTAATATTAATCCTCTTCCATTTAAAAAACAAACCAACCACCCTGTGCTTTCGTTGCAGGAAGTAGACTGAACAAAGATCTGAGGCATTATCTCAACCAGAGGTTCCAGAAAGGATCTCCAGACCACGAGCTGCAGCAGACCATTAGAGATAACCTTTATCGCCATGCTGTGCCTTGTAAGTAATAAAAACAATTCACCTGGGGAATTTTTTGTAAAAACATTAAATACCTTTAGAGGTAGTCTTTTAAGTGATGATGTGCAATACTATGTGGGAACCATGATTTACAACAACGGGGTTCTTGCCTCTAGGGACAGTGGAGAAAAAGATGCGCATGGTGCTTAGGTAGACAGGGTGCATGTCTACATGTGCATTAAGATGCTTTAGTTAATGTGCATTAAATCTGACACCTCCATTTTGAAGTACTAGGAAAACGTGCATTAGCCTGTCTTAATGTGCCTTAACCAAAGAGCACAATTTTAAAGTGACGCATTAGCCTATTTTAATGCACATTAACTAAACAGTATGTTTTTAGTGACACTTTAATGCGGATTAAAGTAGGCAAACGCTCATTAAAGCGCACATATAGATGTGCCCAGGGAGTACTTGATTCCTCATGGTAAAAAGCCTATGGATTGACTGAGATAAGGAGCATAGTGGATGGATTACTCTGGAATGGATTATCGTGGAAAGAACCAGAGGGCAGTCATGGCTGTCTTGAATGGGAGGGAAGGAACGTGATTGATGCCGACATTGAAACCACTTTGTTCTTGGCTGCTGATCTGTTGGTTTTACTTGGGAGCAATCGGATATTAGGCACATATCGAAGTTAGTAGCTACTTGTCATTTACCAGCGGTGGTTGACGCTGCATCTAGAATTGAATAAACATTTGATTTAGGAAGCGTGCTGTGTAGTTGTCATGTATGGTCTGTGGTTTTTCCTTCATTGTTGTGTTAGTGATTACAGCCTTTGAAGAAGAGCAGGCCCTTTCTTTCTTCAGATGGACTTTTTTCACGATGGTGATCAAATTGTGAAATTGCAACCCTTTTTATGACATCACAGCTTGTTACCATGGAAACTGAACACTCTCACTAGCGGAACATCATCCTTAATTCAAGTAGAAAATACACAGTAGGAACAAACTTTTGAATGCAAAAAAAAGTCAACCAGAATAAGAAACATGAGAATTCTAGAAAACTCCTCACTGAAAACTGAAATATTGAAGGTGTATAGACGCCTATAATAAATTAACGGAGTCTTTGTCCCAAATGCAGACTGGGCCTAGCCTTTGTAGAGGGTATGTAAAGTTTGCCAAATATTTCTTGTTCATATGCCTCGGTTTGGCACTTCCCAGCTTCCTTCAGGGGGCTATGTTACCAGACAAATGCATCGAGTTGACTTGAATATTTTCAGTGTGTATTGCGAGTAATGGTATTTTTTCCAAGACGGTGTGAATAAAACTTGAGCAGACATCCAGATTTTAGAACATTTCTACCAAACATTTTAGATTTTTTCCTTCTTTATGCAAGCAAGAGCTGATTTATCCTGACAGAGAAGTGAGGGGGGTTGCCATTAAAAAATCAACACTTGCCAGCAAGCACCATGTAATGGTAGCGGAGATAGATTGGTCTTTTCTAAACCATTGCATATAGAACATCTGTGTAGTGACTCTTCTCAAATGACAACCTCATTGCACTAGTCTTATTTTGTCAGTGGGAAAGCATGGACTAAAGTACTTTAAAATACCGTGTATGGGTATGAAGAGTAAACGCAGATTTTTTTTTTTTTATATTATTATTGAACATTTCCATTTTCAATCTTGTCACCTTGAAATTAGTCTTTAGGGTTCTAACTTGCCTGGCTGCAATTTCTTAAAGGGCTACTGAACAAGATGCATTCCAAGAGCATGAATGCAATTTTAGGCTTAGCTGCAGAGTCCTGATGCTAATATCCATCTGCCCGTGTATTCCCCACCCCCCCCCCCTTACAGTCCAATTTCAGAAACGGCAAATAAAGCAAATGAGCATAAGTTCTTTTGAAGCATTTTCTGTGTTGCCAAGGTTACATTTTGTAATGCTTTCCATTGATTCTTTTCTCTGATTTATTGAACTTGACTGTGAGCTAAACTGCTTGGACTTACCCAAAGCCTTGTTTTAGAATTGGGGGGCGGGGGGGAATAGACTTCTGCCTTTTAAAAACAACAGGAAAAGATGCATTTTGTGCTTGCATTAATAAAAAATATCTGTACTTGCTTTCCTTTTATGAAACAAATAGAAAAACCTGGAAAGTGGAGTTACCTATCACATAGTTCTGTCCTCTGGTTAATTATAAATAGCATTTAATTTTGCCTCTATATAGACAAATTTGTCTCGAAATAGACAGCATTTAATTTTGCCTCTAAATACGGTAGAAAAGGGAGCAGCCATAGTTCTGGGGCATGATGTCAGTATGTACATGGCAAATTTGAATGCAGCTACTGTACACATGGTGGCTTGGAACGGTTTTTCAGTCCCAGAGATTAATCTAGCTGCATACTCTTATATTTTTATTCCTCGGTACATGTGACTAGTAAATCCAGAGCTCTGGGCCAATCTCTGGTGCTGATGGATTAGGAAGTCTTGTATTTTGAAAATGGAATTCCCTGCTGATTATGTGGTAAACACACTACGAGAGCACAAGGTCACTCAGACTGAGCATGCCCGAACTGCCAGCTGCTTGTTATTGCACCGAAACGCAAGGACGACACGAGTGACAATTAATTAAGGTGCAGCAGAGACGCAGGGTAGAAACCGGTTCTTTCACATGAATCCAAAGAGTTTGATACAAAAATGAGAGCAATCCACCTGCCTCAACTGAGGTTGGCATGCTTCAGGCTGCAAGTTTTGCTTTAGAGCAAAAATAGGTGGCTTGCGTACCACAAAACTGCACCCAAGCCTTTTTGATCCTTCTGTAAAATACAAACGGAGAGGTTTTCATGAGGAGCTAGCCAAGGTGGAAGAAGGGAACATCTCTATAGCTTGATTGAGTGAAGGAATGGGGGGAGGAGGGGTTGTTTTTTATGCAGATTAGCAAAACGAGGTAAAGGTGGGGCCTCTCGTTGTCTTTAACTTGACCGCTGACTTGTAGGAAAGCAGCAAGCTGCCTTCCCCATCTCTAGGATTTTGCCACGGGTTAGTTGAACTACAAGTTGCCTTCTGCTAAGAAGGATCAGAAAGATGGTGTTGCTCCCAGAAAGGCTTTGCTTGTTACTTCTTTCCTAGGTCCATTGCTTTGCGTTGCCACTCTTCCCTTCAGGTTCTTGCATGTCTTGGGAGTCCTCTGAGCAGTGAGACCTATGGTAGGGGGTCCTGGCCGCTGGACTCAACCTCTTTATTGTTTTTCTTATTAGCCTGCACAACACGCCAAAGACATGAATACCGTGCAAAGAGTGAATAGCGGAACGGGTCGTCAGTTATTTACCTCCCAATTCATGCAAATTCTGCATGTGCTATCACGACACTCATTCCGTCTCTGATTGGTTACAGCCTTTAAAAAGGGGGAGCCACACGAAAAAAAATAAAGGATCTGTCTGGTTGTGTAGGTGCCATGACATCCTGGGACGTCAGGCTGCCTTTCTTCGAGCAGGGTCTTACACTGAGCACCTCCCCCTGCAAAGCTAAATTTTCCTTAATGGCTTCTTTAAACCCCAGTGGATTCCTTGAATTTGTGCTGGGGTGAACTGAGGGCTAATTGGCTGGTTTATATTACCTTAACATTTCCTCTGTCCATCCTCTTGACCTCACAGAGTTCAAATTTTCAGCGCTCGTGTTTTCAATCCCAGAGCTCCAATTTCTGCAGTTGACCTTGGAGGGGCCACAGAGCATGATGGAAATCAGTGGATCAGTGCACGTATTGGATGGACCCTAAGGATGTCTTGGAAAAATGGTGCTATATCTGGGCAGTGGTTCTTTCAAGCTCTCATTAATTTTTGTGGGACGCTTAAGAATGAAGACTCCTGGGAGATTTTCTGGCACAAGGGTAAAAGGAAATGTTCTGGTTTAAAAGGAGGAGGAAAAAGTAGGGGTCTGCATACGTCCATAGGTGATTGACGTAAATGAGTCGGTGGTGGTTGGACACTCTTATTTAATAATATTAGTTAAACTTTTGCAAAGGTGCGTACTCGCATCTGTTCATGGTATTTATGAACCTGTATAAGTCTAGGTTGCAAACTAGATTGCAAAATGATCTTGAGATGTTCTGTAGAGGTTTGCTCCCATCGTGAAACAGAGCACTGCATACTTGAGTACCACTGGCGTTTTCTGCTGAAGAGTGGGTAAGGCTGGATGGGTCGGGTTATTTGCCACCAGACCACCAGGCCTGCAGCCCATCGGTCTGGTGTTTCAGTCTAGGTGGGGAAATGCTTCAGTTCTGTTTGCTCCAGATTCAGCCGTGTTGCTCCTAAGACATCTGGCATGTTGAAATGAGCTGTCAGAAAAGCACCTTGAAGACACTGCTGTTGGATTCAGGAATGCTCAGTCTCGTTGGGGCTGGACTTGATGATCTTCGAGGTCCCTTCCAGCCCTAATATCTATGAATCTTTTTTTTTTTTTTTTAATGAAGAATTGCTGTCGTTGGCAGGGCATCAGTCGTAAAGCTGAATGGTCTTCATAATATGCGTAGAAGCATTTAGGTTGCGTACTTAGCATATGTCTGTGCTTCCTGCATGATGAGCGTAGGAACGTCGCTGAGATGGGTGCTCTGTCCAGGCCTGCCAAATGCCGGCAATGAGGCAATAGTGCATCTGTAGGCCAGCCATAAGCACACCCAAGACAGGAAGCCTGAGTACCGTGCTGTGCATGCATGCTCTGCACCTCTCGGCAGTGGCGCCGTTGCCTTGTTGCCAGCATTTGGCACATGCAGACCTGCCCCATGCATCCCAAATTCTGCCTTATTTTTAGTTGCTAATTTTCCTTAGAGAGAAACAGAATGGCTGACAGGTTAGCTGAGCTACTTTCCTTCATAGGCAATAAATCATGGGCTTGTACAAACACATTCTCAAAAGCCTTCCAGAAGTGCCACGTTCCTTATTATCCCTGTGCCTTTTGGGCCATTCCCCACGATACATGTGGAATCCCAGTTTCTTAACAAGAAAAAGGTGCAGAAAGCAAACCAGAGACAGGCCTTTCTCTACCACAGC